TGTAACAGTAAATCAATGAATGATATTTAATTCTTAATATTTTGCGGATTTTCCTTGACATTTAATAATAACAGCCGTCGTTCTCTTTGGCGGAGATTTATAAAACTTTGAAATAGTTTCTTTTAATAGTTAAAAACATGGAATCTCTCATTTATTAATTCCTACGAAATTTCGTGACAGTATAATGATTTTTATCTCAATTCAAATTTGTAGAGCAGAGTCGCAATTTTGGCAAAATTTGCTCCGAGTTGCGGGAGTTGCAATAATTTACATGTAAATTATTTACATATTATATTTTTCTTTATTATGTATTTATACACTAAAAATCTAATACAATTCAAATTAATTCATGAATAATTTTTTACAATTTAAATTGTAATGAAGATTTATATCAAAAATCTATATCCTTTAAACAACAGCTTTTTTCAAAATTTGATCGAACCTGATTGAATCTTTTTGAGAAGTCAAAGGGTTATTTTGTGTTTAAAATCACATAAATACCTCAGGCCATGCATCGATGTCTTTCAAAAATAAAATTAGATTCTTTATGCCTTTATTTCAGTGTATTATGAGTGTATCGAACTTTTAACAATAAGTTCAAAGTTGCGGCAATGTAAACTGCACTATAAGGAATTCAGGCGACTGAACCTGTTCGCCATTTTTGTTCCCTGAAACGGCTCTAAAAAATCATACATCGAGTTTTATGGTATCGTTGCAAAATAGAGACTTCAGTCTTTAAATTCATGATGGACTCAGTCACAAAAAAAAATTTTCAATGATTTTATGGACGTTTCAATATGTAGCATTTTTGAGGAAACTTTTGAAGGAAAATGAACAAGACTTTAGGCTTCAGAATGAATTCAGATTTAACAATGATGACAATTGAGCCGTTTATTTTGAAAGTGGCATAAGTCACTTTGTTTTGAAGTCGATATATTTAAGGGTTTGCGTTTTAACACGTTTAAAAATATGGATGCTAACTTTCGAGAAGATTTACTTGTATTTGTTATCTCAGGATACTGATATTTTTCTCAGTATAAATAATTTCGTATAAACATTAAAAAATAACCACTTTTCATTNAAACGGCTCTAAAAAATCATACATCGAGTTTTATGGTATCGTTGCAAAATAGAGACTTCAGTCTTTAAATTCATGATGGACTCAGTCACAAAAAAAAATTTTCAATGATTTTATGGACGTTTCAATATGTAGCATTTTTGAGGAAACTTTTGAAGGAAAATGAACAAGACTTTAGGCTTCAGAATGAATTCAGATTTAACAATGATGACAATTGAGCCGTTTATTTTGAAAGTGGCATAAGTCACTTTGTTTTGAAGTCGATATATTTAAGGGTTTGCGTTTTAACACGTTTAAAAATATGGATGCTAACTTTCGAGAAGATTTACTTGTATTTGTTATCTCAGGATACTGATATTTTTCTCAGTATAAATAATTTCGTATAAACATTAAAAAATAACCACTTTTCATTACGGTAAAGTGACTTATGCCACTTTCAAAATAAACGGCTCATATTATCCTTAAATTTGTATTTGTCTCTGCTATGTTCGAGGTCGTTGTTGGATTAAATTCGGTTAAATTAGTTCGTTGGATAATATTTGGAGGAAATTTTGAGAAAGTTGCGGATAACAAACGGAGGTCCGATTCTCAAGGGCGGTTTCCTCCGTCGCCTAATTGCTTGTTCGGCTACAAACGTCGATCACGCGAGGACCGCGAAGAAAAACTCGTCGTCGCGTCGTGATCCCGATCATGCTCGCGCGGGACGGATGGGAATGAACGGTCTCGCAGGTTCGAGAGATCGATAGACTCGAAGGACGCTTTGTTTACACTCGACTTACTTAAGTGCCAGCCGGAATGACTTCCGTCGACGCGGTGCGACGCCAGAATATTCGCGCGGCTAATTACCGGCGTTAATTACCGGAACGAACAATGCTTCCGCGCAACGACGCGCGCCAAGATGGCGTGCTTGGCATCGGTACTGTTCACGAGTCCTTCGAGAAATGGACGAACACCATCGACGTCCTAAATAGACGTTGGAAATGGACGTTGCTTTAGGCGACACGACGATATCGTCGCAGGGCCGAGTTGGCCATATTTTAGTCGAATAACGAATAACGCATTCAATTTTATATTCGAAGAATTTGTTCGAAGAATTTATTCGAAATATTATACAAATCAAATTTTATTCGAGGAAGTTATTCGAAATATTTCTCGAATCAAATTTTATTCGAAATACTTCTTGAATACAATTTTATTCCAAGAGTTTATTCGAAATATTGTACGAATAAATATTTATTTCAAGAGTTTATATTCGAAATATTATACGAATAAATATTTATTCCAAGAGTTTATATTGGATATATTGTACGAATAAAATTATATTCCAAGAGTTTATTCGAAATATTGTACGAATAAAATTTTATTCCAAGAGTTTATTCGAAATATTATACGAATAAAATTTTATTTCAAGAGTTTATTCGAAATATTATACGAATAAAATTTTATTCCTAGAGTTTCTTCGAAATATTGTACGAATAAAATTTTATTCCAAGAGTTTATTCGAAATATTATACGAATAAAATTTTATTTCAAGAGTTTATTCGAAATATTGTACGAATAAAATTTTATTCCTAGAGTTTATTCGAAATATTATACGAATAAAATTTTATTCCAAGAGTTTATTCGAAATATTATACGAATAAAATTTTATTCCTAGAGTTTCTTCGAAATATTGTACGAATAAAATTTTATTGCAAGAGTTTATTCGAAATATTATACGAATAAAATTTTATTTCATGAATCTATTCCAAAGATCACTCGAATAAAAAGATTACTATTTCGCATCAGGATCCACGATGCGACTGTCTGACTGTCCGGGGAATAATTGCATAGAATAAAAGATAATAAAAGAAAACGGATTATCCGTTGCTAAAGGTCAAAGTTCAGTAGAGTGTAATCCGATTATTAGAGTACGGATGATTCAATATTTATAGGAAATGCAACCAATCAAGGGGCAACAGAGTAACGAACATTTCTCTACGGTAAAAATAATAATAATACTAATAATAATATTAATATTAATAATAATTTTATTTATTATCGAGACAAGCGAGAAAGCAATAATAACGTAGCAGTCGTGCAAGTACGGGTAAAATAGAAAAACTGGAAACAAAAAAGACTTAAATATAGGAGATAAGTGAAATAGAAAAAAAAGATGGTGATGGTAAAACATCGTTAAGGAGAATCACATTGTTCCAGTTCCATTTCTTCCGCTTCTGGATGGCGACCTTTCGAAACTCCGCGGAAAGATTCGCAGCCCGTTCTCGATTAGTGTGCACTCGAATCTCTCATTCTTCCGGGCCGTGGGTCTAACAAAACGTGACCGTTCGCGTCCAGAAGAATTTCCCCGGTAGCTGTCAGACGGCATCGAAGAAGCACGCCGGAAAATTACAAGAGCAAACGCGGAGAAACTCGTGCTCGCGCTTCATCTCTAAATGGAAAGCGGGGCGCAGCGAAGGGACCTGACCGAATAAAAATGTCCAGAAGTAGTTCGCACGTGGGAAATGTAAACGTCGCGTAGCACCGGAATGCTGATCGGAGCGGAGAGAACGAAGGTCCCAGGGAACACGGTGGAAAAATCGTCGTGGAAGCCAACTGCGCGCGCGGAAACTGTTATTTGGAGCGTTCTCGGGCTTTTCGAGGACGTGTCTCGAAATTGAAACGAACGAGGCTTCGCGAAATACGGTGTCACCTTGTTCCGCAAGGTAACGGATGGGCCGGTGCTGTCTCCAGTAACCCACGAATCTTTTTTTGTTAGACAGTGGCGAGAATGATTTTACTCGAATATTGCGAAGCGACGCGTACGGCGCTGTAGCTCGAAGTAGATAACTTTGAACGTGATCGATATTTTTGGATGCAAAGATTTTGAACAGATTCCAGGTGGATTGGTAGATCTTCTCGCATAGTTTGAAATTTGTCTGTCCATCGGTTTCGTTGGCAAAAATTCCCAATGACACTCTATACATCACGACAGCAAGAGGTTTAATTTGCAATTGCAGGATGACTGGTTCGATTGCGTAAATGAACTCTAGCGGAAAGTATAAAATAATTAATAGCGACACTACATATTTCCGCATGAGAAAAATGTTTTTACGTTCTCCAAAGATTGGCAAATCGACCCACAAAGTTTAGAATATGTAGATCTACTGGGCTCGCTAGAAAAAATTCCCTTTCGCATTGTGCACAATGAAATCTACAGACTTGATTATGTACACGAACTCTAGAAGAGAATATAAAATTGTTACTATTATGTATTTTCAAAGAAAAAAATACTCTCTACGTTCTTGAAAGATTAACAAATCAACGCACAAAGTTTAAAATTTGTTGGTCTACTAATTTTGCTAGAAAAAATTCCTCAATTCCCGCAATGACAGTTTCGATTGCGTAAATGAACTCTAACAGAAAGTATAAAATAATTAATAACAATACGGCATATTTCAGAATGAAAAAAATGTTTTTACATTTTCTAAATATTGGCAAATCAACTCATATAAAGTTTCAAATTTATAGATCTGCCAGTCTCGCTAGAAAAAAAACCTCAATTCTCATAATCACAGTTTACATTGCGTACATAAGCTCCAACGGAACTTATAAAATAACTAATACTAATACTGCATATTTCTATATAAAAAAAATATTTCTGCACTCTCTAAAGATTGCCGAATCCGTCCACGAAGTCTAATATTTCTAGACCAACCGGTTTCCCTGAACAAAATTCTAGAAATCGACGCTGGCAGATTCAGCATTAATTGGAGGGACGTAACCGTTGGTCGCGAAGGAAGCCCATGATAGTCAAGGGCAACGACCTCAGGGTTAATCGTGACCCTTAACGTCGACCTGAACGAAGGACGGTAAGGAGATGCGTTAGGCAGGGTGGTAGGGTAGTCGGAGGGTAAGGAGAACGTGACACCGAGATACGTACCTCGTTAACTCCGCGCACGATCGCCCTCATGGTCGCGTTCCTTGGACCGTCGACGGTCTTCCCGTCGTCCGTCGGTCCCCACGAGGCGCTATAAATGTCGATGAGGTCAGGTTCGTGTCCCATGCTGTTCGCCTCGATCAAGTCGGTCATGTAAGGCTGATCCAGCATTCGGATGCCGGCCACTTTCGAGTCGTACGCGACGCCCACGCCGCACACGCCGTTGTCCCGGGCTGCTGCCACCTCGCCCGCGCACCTGGTCCCATGGCTGTAGACAGAAAACATAATCTCTGGTTCATTTTTTAAGAAATCATCCGTGAAACCTCTCTCCTCACCACAAGGGAGATCCTCCGTTTTCTTTCCTTAAAAATTTGATAGCTTTACCAGTGAATTTCTCGACCCACGGATCGATTCTTTTTGCAGTTTTCAAAAAGAAATTTTGTACGTCAAAGTTACTTTTTATTTGAAAAGAATGTTAATTGTTGGATATTTATTTATTTATTTATTCAGTTAGTTACGGATAAAAATTGTATTTTAACTTATTTTACTGCATTTTATTTTGTATTTTAAAATTGTGTTTTATATATTTGCATGTTACGTTGTATTTTATGTTTCTGTACCTCGAGTTGCCTTTTAAATTGTGTTCTTCGAATTTCACTTTAGTTATTTTGTTTAGTTTTTTTTTCAAGGTCCGCATGGCTAGTATGCAGGGATTCTCAATGAAACTGAAGACCACAATCGCTTAATTATTTTGTGTTTCGAAATTGTATTCCACGTATTTGAGAATGTTCCGTTGTGTTTTATGTTTTTGTATTATATCTCGAATTTCATTTTGATTTGTGGTTTCGAATTTCGACCTGCGATCCTTATGGCTACTTACAAGGATTTCTAACGAATCCGAACACCATAATCACTTAATTATTTCGTGCTTTAAAATAATATTTTACATATCTGTACTTTGCATTGCATTATACATATTTGTACTTTTCATTCTATTTTACGTATTTGTATTTTACATCGTGTTTTATACAGGGTGTTCCATAATTATGTTAACACCTGGAAAAGGGTGTTCCTGAGGTTATCTAAGGTGATTTGAAGTAACTTTTTCCTTACCGAAAATGCAATCCGCGGCTTTGTTTACGAGTTATTAACGAAAAACGGTGACCAATGAGAGGCGAGCTCGCCTAGCGCTAGGCGACCGAGCCAATCAGCGGAACTGAGCTTCGACCGCTCGTTGACATGGCCGCCTCGCGCCAGCTGATCTCGCCTCTCATTGGTCACTGTTTTTCGTTAATAACTCGTAAACAAAGCCGCGGATTGCATTTTCGCTAAGGAAAAAGTTACTTCAAATAACTTCAGGAATCACCCTTTTCCGGGTGTTAACATAATTATGGGACACCTTGTATATTTGTACATTGCATTATATTCTACGTATTTGTACTTTGCATCGTATTTTATATTTTTGTACCTGGAATTGCAATTAGATTTGTGTCTCCCGAGCTTTCGTCTTAGTTATTTTGTTTAGTATTCATTGCCAGCTTCGATCCGGGGTCCACGTAGCTACCCGCAAGGACTCCGAGGAATTCTAGGCTCCCGAGGAACGTGATGACAGCGAGGCAGGGCGACGTAGTCACTTAATCATCGCGTGGCTCGCCGAAAAGGGACGCGATGGTTTATCGTGGGAATTAATCAGCCGCGATTAAAGAGTAATTACACGAGGAAACTGCGACGATTAATTACAGGCGAGGCCGCCCCTCCTCGAGTTCTTCGCAACGCGCGGGAAATTATCGCGTGATAAACATTACTCAAGAAATAATTTCGCGCAGACGATAAGTGTCGCATAATCTGCGTCGGCCTTTCGTCGGATCTGGATTGTCCAGCGATAATTGTTTAAAATTAAATTGTTCGAAGATATAATCGGTCGGTGAAAGAGAAACGATCGCGACTGTACCGGGAGCATTCTCCGGACGAATACACGGAATTCCTCCGGCAGAGGCTCAACGTCGGAAAATTACAACTATGAGCTTTTCTCCTCTAACAACGAAATACCGAGAGCAACGTACAAGGAGAAATTTGCTAGGCGGAGTCACTTGAGGGAGCTTCTGCGAGGCACAAAGCCCAGAGAATGATAATTATCCTCTTTATCGGGTGTAGGAACCTTGGAAATGTCGGAGAAAATGTTGAAAATTCATGAAAGCACTGTCCAAAAGAACGTGTATATTGATGACCTAAAGGCCGAGATTTAGGCTGATTCAAACGATCCTGTAATTGATCAACGAGCACCCAAGTGGAATCCTAATTGCCCTAATTTGATCTCATTAACAAGCTTTAATAAAATTCTCACATTTTCCTCGAAGCAAAGTAATTTAATTAACCGAAATTACATATTCGCTGTCCGTACTTTAGCAATTTTATGGAACGTTGAATTCCGTTCGTCCGTAATGTTTTTTCCGCAGAAAATATTTCCTGCTTATCCTTCTCTTTATTCCTTTCTGTCAGTCATCCGCATGCTCATGAATTTATTCGCACTCATTTTCCACGCAAATCTTCTCCGTGTAGTAAATAAAGTTGAAAATCCATACCGCGTACGTTTTACACGAAGAAAAACTTTCCGCCATTTTTCTGCATATTTATGAATTCAATGTGCTTCTGCTTCTTCTACGAGTTCGACGCATGCTTACGTAAAGGAAACATGCATTTCGTATTTCCAAACGATTGTATACTATCGCAACAGGTGCGATGGAACGCGAAATTATCGATGTAACAGACAAATTTACCGAATCAATTTAAAAATGAAACTGTCAGCATTAATTATGAGATACAATTATTTTATTAGAATGATAATTATTGTTACAATTATTTTTATTATAATATAATCATTTTATAATAATAATAATAATAATAATAATAATAATTTTGATTACAGCTGCATAAAATCTGCAGTTTAAAAGCGAGTTGCAATTTTTGTGTGACGAAAGTAGTCAAATTATTATTGGTTTGAAAAATTTCCTTGAATCTCTGTGGCTCCGCCCCAATTTCCTAACGTATCCAAAGCCCCGCCCAAATTCCACTGCGTTCCTCCACTCCAATTCCTCAGCGCATGTAAGGCCACGCCCAATTTCCGCAGCGGTTTCTCTTAGGCTCCGCCGCGATTATTTAGCGTATAGGAGACCACGCCCAATTTCCGTAGCTGTTTCTTAGACTCCGCTCCAAGCACGTACAAGATCACGCCCAAATTCCATGGCCTTTTCTAAAGCTCTACCATTTTCTAGAGTTCATAAGGCTCCGCCCAAATTGGGTAGTTCTTTGGAAGGCTCCGCCCTATATCATTAGCGTTGCTGAGGTTCCACTCTGAAACCCTAACATTCCTAAAGCATCGCCTCGATTTCATAGCACTTCTATAGTCCCGTCCAAAGTTCTTAGTATTCACTAGACTTCGCCAAAATTCGGAAGTATTTAATATCTTAATTTTTTTTATTTTAATATATTTTATCTTAATTTTATCTTAATTTTATCTTGATTTTACCTTAATTTCCAAGCCTATGTAAAGCCACGCCTACATTCTCTAGCGTTTCCTGAGACTCCACTCCCCAACTGCAGTAATTTCTCCCGGAAATGCCAAATTTCCGATTGCTGGACATTTCCCTGTGCTAGTCCCACGCCTATGTAATTTATTGCTACGTCGATACTAAGGGTCGACAGAGTCGGTCAAGCGTGTGATGCGGCACGCGACGCGAATTCCCGGAAGACGACACAAAATGGTCTGTTAGGGTGTGAGTCAGGTAAGAAAAACCGCGGAGCTACAAGGTACGTGATAGGTACCAGGTACGTGACCATCGAATCGTGTCACGTGGCCTCCGGATTGCCTTCGTGACAACAAATTAGAAATAAGAGTTAAGTCATTTTGCCGACTGCCTTTCTATAAAAACGAGCCGCCAGATCCGACGAAAAGCGACTGAGTATTCTCAGTTCTGCTGGTTTCAATTCCGAACATTTCTGGGAGAAATTACTGTACCTGACATTTCGAAGGTCACGCCCAAATTTCATCATGTCGTCCGAAGATCAGCCACAGTTCTCACGCACATCTAACGCCACGTAGCTCGTCCCCAATTTCCTAGTGTTTCCAAGACTCCGCCCACATGCCAAAATTCCTCAGTGTTACCAATGGTTCCGCCCAATTCCCTAGTGTTTCTGAGTTTACGCCCAAATTTCTTAGCATCTTCCAAAGCTCAACCATAGTTATACAGCGCATCTAACACCACGTCAAAATTCCTCAGCATTTCCCATGGCTCCGCTCCAATTTCCTAGTGTTTCCAAGACTCCGCCCACATGCCAAAATTCCTCAGTGTTTCCAATGCTTCCGCCCAATTCCCTAGTGTTTCTGATTTCACGCCCAAATTTCTTAGCGTCTTTTGAAGCTCAACCACAGTTCTACAGCGCAACTAACAGCGCATCAATAGTCCTCAGCGTTTCCTGTGGCTCCGCCCTAATTTCCTAGTGTCTCTAAGACTCCGCCCACATGCTAAAATTCCTAAGCATTTCCAATGGCTCCTCCCAATTTCTTAGTGCTTCTGAGTTCACGCCCAAATTTCTTAGCATCTTCCAAAGCTCAACCATAGTTCTACAGCGCATCTAACACCACGTCAAAATTCCTCAGCATTTCCCATGGCTCCGCTCTAATTTCCTAGTGTTTCTAAGACTCCGCCCACATGCCAAAATTCCTCAGTGTTTCCAATGGCTCCGCCCAATTCCCTAATGTTTCTGAATTCACGCCAAAATTTCTTAGCGTCTTCCGGAGCTCAACCACAGTTCTACAGCGCATCTAACACCACGTCAAAATTCCTCAGCATTTCCCATGGCTCCGCTCTAATTTCCTAGTGTTTCTAAGACTCCGCCCACATGCCAAAATTCCTCAGTGTTTCCAATGGCTCCGCCCAATTCCCTAATGTTTCTGAATTCACGCCAAAATTTCTTAGCGTCTTCCGGAGCTCAACCACAGTTCTACAGCGCATCTAACACTACGTCAAAATCCCTCAGCATTTCCCATGGCTCCGCTCCAATTTCCTAGCGTTTTTAAGACTCCGCCCACATTGCCTAGCTTTTTGTAAAGCTCCGCCTCATACGTTCAGCATTTCTGAGGCTTTTTTCTCGCTTCAACTCTCCAGCACTCTTAACGTCCTTCTCAAATTTCCTAGCGTTTCCATAGTCTCGCCCAAATTTCCTACCATCCTCAAAGCTCCGCCCAAACTCGCCACCGTATCTAAGACC